CAGCAAAGTTTGTGTGATTACCAAAAGTTAATTGTGTTTGTTCCTAAACTTGTTTATGCCAGTTATATTTGTCACTGCAATAATGAAATTTAATAAAAATAGTACACAAGCCAATGAAATATAGTTATAAAAAGAAAACACTATTTCAATAACAGTAGGATATTTTGGAAAGGTAAAGACAAATTACATACGTATAAAAATATCGTTGAATTAAACATAGGAGATAAAATAGTAAAAGATTAGGGGACAAAAATCCCAAAAGTCTAGAGTTTTTACATGTATATTGTGTCTTCAAGTTCTCATTCCATTTGAAAGAGAACCAAATGGAAAGTATTATTAGAGAATGCATCACGAAAGGAGATTTTGCAAGAAAGGCAGCATGGTCCTACAACTGTAGGAATCACACATTAAAATGAACTAAAGAATGTATTTGTATTCCTGGTTTAAATTTAAATAAAATGTTTATGGTACATATTGTCATCCCTTGGGGGAGGGGTGTCACTACAGATTCATTTGCATTCTCCAAAGTTTCGCACAAATGGATTCATTCAGTATGTACTCTTTTTCCTCTGGCTTTTTCACTTTAGTGTAATCAGTTTGAGATTCATCCATGTCATTGCATGTATCAATAGTTTGTTCCTTTTTGTTGCCAAGTAGTATTCTACTGTATAGATATCCCATGTTTTGTTCATCTATTGTCCTGCTGATGTACATTTGGGTTTTCATCTTGGGCTATTATGAAATAAAGCTGCTATAAACATTCACGTACAAGTCTGAGACATGCTTTCATTTTTCTTGGGTAAATACATAGAAGTGAAACAGCTGGATAATAGGATAGGCATATGTTTAGCTTTTTGTGAAACTGCCAAACTGTTTCCCATTGGCAGCGTATGAGCTCATCACTTCACATCCTTGCCAGCAACTGGCATTCTCTTTTCGTCATTCTAATAGGTGTGTATTGCACTGTGGTTTTAATTTATATTTCTCTAATGATTAATAATGAGTAATGTGGAGCATCATATCACGTGTTCATGTGTCCATTTTTTTAGGCGACGTGTCAGAATATTTTGCTCCTCCCCTTTTTAAGTGGGTCGTTTATTTTCTTATCACTACATTTTAAGGGTTCGTCATATATTCTGGATTACTTACAGTCTGTGTTTTGTCTTTTTATTCTCTCAACAGTGTCTTTTAAGAAGTTCTTAATTTTAATAAAATCAAATGTATCCATTTTTAGATTTTACATATAGATCTATGTTCACTTTGAGTTTTAAATACGATGAGTGAGAATCTAAGTTTGTTCATTTTGGTTATTGCATATCAAATCGTTCCAGCTCCATTTCTTACATTATCCTTTCTTCACTGAATTCTTTACACCTTTGTCATAAATCAGTTGAGCATTTATGTAAGTGTGGATCTTCGGGACTCTATCCTTCCACTAATCAACTTGTCTAACTCTATGCCAATTATAGGTATCTATTTTTTTAACTAACTTTTTTGATTTACTGGCCAAACTAATGTCTAGGTTTGCTGGGAGACTTTTACCTTATTCTAATGGATTATAAACTTGATGCAACAGAAAAGAGAGGAGAAAGGACAAAGTCGGGAAGAGAGATGGGCAGGCACATAATAGAGCAAAAGTATCACACAGGTAAAAGGAAAAGAATTAGAAGTAGACACTTTTTTAAGGCATTTTTCCTACTCTGCCGTCACCAAAGACCACCCCCCACCTAATATGACCCAGCCTGTTTTGAAAAGTTAGTCTATAAAATAAACAGTATTTACTAGATAATTCATTTGTGTTCTCATATATTATTCATCAAAGGCATGTTACTGCCAGTGTTTCTGAGAAGTATGAGATAACCAAGGTTGCTGTAACTTCCGTCAAAAATAAAGACCTTTTAGATATCCAGTGCAGTTTAGTGTAGGCAATATTATGATTTCCATTAAGCTTTCTGAAATATTCACAACCGCCCCCAGGACTCTAACCATCTGCTCCCTGCCCAAACCACTCTTTCTAGAACCCTGGGTTTCTGCAGCCTCAGACAAACCTTAACCTAAGGGGGCTTCACCTGGTTTTACTTCATCAGCCACTTGCTGTGCCATCAGAGCTTCAGAAAAATATGTGATTTGTTAATGTAATGAAAACAACAAGAAAGTGTAAAGCAGTGGTCCCCAACCTTTTTGGCACCAGGAACCGGTTCTCCTATGAAGATCTAATGCCTGATGATCTGAGGTGGAGCTGAGGCAGTGATGCTAGCACTGGGGAGTGGCTGCAAATACATATGAAGCTCTTTGCTGGCTTGCCTGCCACTCAAACTCCTGCTGTGTAGCCTGGTTCCTAACAAGACACAGATGGGAGTGGTCCATAGCCTGGGGGTTGGGGACTCCTGGTATAAAGCACCGATCGCCAACCCATGATTTTACAATAACTTGAAATATCACTAATTATCAGCTCAAAAGATAGCCTTAAAATCATGAAAATTTTTTATTCTCTAAAAGAAACCTATAACCAGCACTTGTTTCCCTTAAGATTGTGTGGAATTCAAATAAACTATAATCAGGTTTAACAACTCAAAAAAGTCTGGGATATCAGAGCTTCAGACATGATAGTAAGAAAATGAAAATGAAACACACTGAGAAACTGTTTGAAAAGTTAGTCAAAGAAAAACCCTGCCCAAATTAGATAGATCAATGCTATCAAATCTGACATCTTGACATGTTTGATCCAAAAACATCTCAAAGTCAGATCGCAAAGTGAATAAAGTGATGGATTACTAGAGCAGACTGTTAAAATGTCACCTTGTACCCAGACACAGTTCTCTTCAAGCAATGACCTATCTTAACAGAAGGGAAAAAATGTCAACGAATTAGTGCATGAAAAATGGGGTAGAGGACACAATTATTGATTTTAAATATTTTTCTCTTTTAAAAAAGTGTTCCTGTCGTTTTATTTTTTTTCCTAATACTAGAGGATGCTTTCAAATGTGCTTGTCAGCCTTATGCAGGGACCCCAGCAAGGCATCTCAGAATTATTCCCATTTTAGCACCTGTACTGCTGAAATCAGAGCTACTATACCTTTTAAATCTACTGCCTTGTCAAAACAAGCCCCAAATCATCTCTCGGCAGAAAACAATGTACACCTCCCCCCGCCCCCATTGCTCTCATTTTGAGGACTAAGAGAAGGAATCCAAGCTTAATTCCCAGTTAGCCATTAGCTATACAAACTCAATATTTAGATTTAAGTTCTCTGGACCTGTTTATCTCAAATGAATACGATATTCAATGAAATTTAACAAACAAACATTACAAATTCAACAAAAAAACATAGCCCTTACTCTCTATTCTGGCATCTTTCAATTCTGTGACCATTATGGCTATGACTTCTCCACTTTTGGGTTTATGGAATGTAATTAAATAGTTCTAAACTTGATTTTAATACGTGATCTAAATTTTCAACCAAGTGTATCAGAAGCACTTGGCATGGTGGCCGATCCCACTTGAACCCTGACAAATGTCATTAGTGTTGTTCTAATGAATTCCGTAAGACAATTTTTATTTTTGTTCTCCCTAAGGCCTAGCCATACCAGATAAAGCTTATATAATTATCACATTGCTTAAGGCTGCCATTAGACAAAAAAAAAAATATATATATATATGCCTTAAAAATACCTTATTTCAAATAATACCACTATATACCACTTTACTATCATCGAAGATATTTCACATTCATTAGATAAGGTTTATTCTAGGTGTGGAGAGCTGAGAGAACATGAAGAGAACAAAAGCTCAAGACCTTTTTTCTTCCAAAATTTAACTCTTTACTATAGAAATAGTCTATGTAATTAGCAATCTCATTGCTGCCAAATTTAAGTCAAAACAATATGAGCAAGATTTAAAGAAATAGAAACCACTAAGAACACATAAGATTTTTCTTCCATTAAACTTAGCTCTTAACAATTGCTGTTTAACTTTTTTTCTTTCCACTACAGTAAGAACTGTACTTTCCTTACAAAAGAATTTTGTTGACATAAATTACACTAATAGAAATCACAATATCCCAAGTTCTCGAGCTTTTAAATAAAATGTATTCCTCAGATGTCTGTAGTAAATAAGTGGTAAGACAAGCTTTAATCTACTGGCAGACTGGACTGTTTCCCCACTCACATTTCCACATCTTATCCTGTGATCTAAGGATTTTGTGGATTTCAACCCACTGGCTGAGAATGATACTTGAAATGAAAGGCAACAGCATGGACCTAAATGGTTACAGAAGTGAAATAAGCCAGCCAGAGAAAGACAAATAATGTATGATTTCACCTATATGTGGAATCTTTAAAAAAAAAAATGACAAAAGAAATAGACCCATAGATGCAGAACAAGCTGATGCTGCTAAAGGGGATGGAGGGGGTTTTGCAAATGGGTGAAAAGAAAAACACATAAAAACTTACTGACCATATATCTAGGTTTTGAAACACACTTGCTGAATATTATTGCATGTTTCAATAACAGATTAGGGCTCAAAAAAAAATGAAGGGGACAAGGAGATTTGAAAGTTAAACTATACTTGATTACAGTTCAGAGTCAGCAAGAAATTTAATAAAACTCAGTTTTCATTTTCTTTTACTGAAGTATATGATCAAATCTTTTCATGATGAAAAATGTTACAGCACTAGGAACCAAAGAAAACATCTGTAGAATAGGAATCTCTCTCTAGTTAATAAAATTCCCAATAATCATAACAATAATTTTGGATTATTCACATGGAATCGACTGTTATACAGAATGCTTATTTTGTTGCAAAGGGAGTTTACATGTGACAATCCACTTTCAAACAACATAAAAAGTTCATAGTTTTTATTAGCTGCAGTAGTGACTTTAAAATGGTTACCTGAACAGTGATCAAAACCACAGAAAGTCTTCTTCTGTCTTTTCTGTCAGCAATCCAAGCTCAAAGACCGTAAACCCCCCAAAAAATAAAGTGACACAATGGAGAGTCCAATGTTAGTTTCTGAAATTTTATTATTTTTAATACATACATTTCACAAACAGAAACCTTCTAACATCACACACAATTCCATAACCAAATGTTTCAATTTTATCAACATTCTTTAAATATTTACACTGTCTTCTCTCAACAAAAGTGCAATCCAAGACATCTTGACAAGAAATCTTTACCGACAAGAATATATTTTTGAGCTGGTTTGAAAGATGCCCATCCATTACATTTTCTTTCAATTACCGAGAATAATAATGAAGTCAACAGGACGTGGAGACAAGCTGAGTTAGGCTGCATCCGATTATAGGAACCAAAACACTGAACAAGAGCACTTTCTCCTCACCACTTCCCAAATCTCCAGCTAAAATTACTCAACAGCTGCTAACATGAGACTAAAGAGAAAAGCAAATTGGAGTTACTGACCCGGACACAGGAGAAAAGACTGTGTGAAGTACTGGTCCCACAGGACAAAATGAGAGACTTCAGCAGGTTAGTTCTGGTGGTCTAACAAGTTGTGTATCAGTGTATCTGTTAGTTTTGGGGTTTAAACATCTAATCTTTCCTAATGAGTTAACTTCCCTCAAACAAATATGAAAAGATGTTTTATTCTGAAAATGAACTTCGTTTACAAAAACTGCAAAAATAAACACTGGAGAAAGCTCTTTTATAACTGGAATGGGATAACTGACTCCATTCCCCAATTTCATGGCCAATGTATATCAACTACTTCAGATGCAGCCAGAAGAAAGTGGAGAACTGAGCTGGCCTGAAGAGAAAATGATGAGACCATAAAAAATAGTCTTCTCACCAAAGTATTTGTTCAAGGTATATAACTCTTAAAAGTAAATGATAAAAAAGTTAGAGTAGATGAAAAATTGCTTTGAAATTACGTCACTTACGAGTGGTTCACATTATTGAACACTATTCATCAGAAAAAAAGAAAATGGATCTCCGGGTGACTAATATCCTTTAATATCCAAACCACAACAAAAATAATCATCTTTTTTGACATATTCCAATTTCATCAAGGTACTCAGAACAAGGTACTTTGAGAAAGCATAGGGAAAATACCACGGTCAGCAGATTTCCAAAATAAGATTTATTCTTTATATTATTGCATACTCAATTATGTTTTATTCTCAAATCAATCAAATTTTCTATTTTAGACAAGAATGCAATGCCACGAAGGCAAGATATTCTCAGATATGACACCTATACCTTTTATTTCACATAGCTGCAGAATCCTAACTTCATCATCAAAATAAAAGCCAAAGCAAATTTTACCTAATTACAGTGAAACCTATCATACTTATTTTTTAAGGAGTAGAAAACAATATAAGGAGAAAATATTGAATGCATCAGGCACTACACTCACAGCAGTGTTAGACTGAGGAGCTTGCTGAATGCAATCTATACATAAACTTGAAGCTTTGGGACAACAATATAAGCAAGTTTCTTTAAAAAATTTAGGTGGGTTAAAGAACAGCGTTACAAATATTTCCGATGCATTTTAAATTTAGAAGTAAAATCCAAATGGCACTCTAAAGACAAGAAAAATTTTTGAACCTGGGTACATGAGAGAATCAACAGGGAAACAGTTAACTCACAATTACATCTTTGCATATTAAAAACAAATTTTCAAGGGTTATGTCCTATAGACTTTGTTCATTTGCATCAAATACTGTCAGACCAGTAACGATTTTCTGTTTCTTACTGGCATTGAGCATTTCCCCCCACTGTGAAATATTTTTCATATCATCAAACACCAAACTGGATGTAGTAAACTAAATTATAATCATCCAAACTGAAAGATAAAGACTATATTAGTTCTTTAAGGCTGTGCTGTTTCAAACAAAACATCAAATATTTCATATAATAGAACTGAAGCTCACTTGCAATAATGCCTAAACACTTCTGAGAGGTGAAATAACTTTTTCTGGGGGTAAAAAAAAGGTATAAACCATGTGAGTAATATAAAATGCTCACATTATCCCAAATTTAGCTACCTATAATTATATTTTCAGCATTCTTTTAGCATATATGCATATCGTATTTGAAATTATCAAATTCATTTTTGAGAAATCATATTCCAATTCTATTAAGGATATAGAATGTATGTCTATTTAAATCACCAAGATCTAATGAACAGCAAGCTGTATTTTGGAAAGCCCAATGCTCTGACGAATTAAGTATATAAATTGTCACTTCTTTTTGCCCATAGTAAAGTATCATGGAGATGTTCAGAATGACCTGCTTTCGAACATATTGTTGTAAGTTACGATCAGTGATTTTCCAGAATGAAACAAACTTAAAACGGAAATATTAAAATTATTCTTCTCTTCATACTCTCACAAGTAATTTTTTTCCTTTCCTTCGTAGGGCCAAATCTTTGATTTTGGAATTCAGTATTAAATTAGTAAAACATTGCTGTTAAGCAATTTTAGAGAAGATTCGTGTGGCAGTGACTGGTTCTCAAACTCACCAGTTCGGTCTGTGGCTGTGAGATTTACCTGTGAGAAGGATCTGACATCGAATGGTATTTCAACGGTGCAACCTATAGAAACTGGTGCTGCCCAAATCATGTTATTCATGGATTGTCCTTAAGAGCTACTGTGACCAACTTCAAATTACCATTTTCTGCCTCTTTGCCCTCTTAAATTAGTATGCATCAATTTCCAAATTCGTTTAGTATATTCTATTATAGGTCAGCTTAAAAATATTTGCAACACCAATAGCTTTCATGTCTTATAATGTGGATATTATTTTCAGTATGAAAACGACTGTTAACTTACAACAGTGATGGAAACAGCACTTGTGTTCACTTTCAAAGACTCTGTCAGTGTGGATAAACTGTGGGTCAATTTGCGCTGCACAGTGCTAAACCAAGACAGACCAACATACTATCAGCTCTCCAGGCACAGACTTACATTCACTTGTCACTTGTTTTTCTCAAGGCCCAGAGAAGATCTAAAACTGGGTCTTTAGACAGCAACATTTCAGTAAGAGTTTCCTCCCAACTCCTACCATGCTCTTAGTTTAGAACCACATAATCCCTTTCCTAAATTCACCTCATCCTCCCTACCACCTTAAAAGCTGCATGAGATTCTTAGTTAGTGAACCAATACTCCAAACTCACAGAATTACCCATTTGGGCTCTGGTTATGACCACAGACTAACACTCGGGGGTCAAGAGAGGGCAAGGGGCAGCCCCCATTTTAGTGGCACGCATACACAAAGGAACTCTCCTTTAAATTAGAAAAGAAATTAAAGTCACAGAATGTTTCCCTAGAAAAGATATGTAATAAAGTAATAATATCAATAAAATAGCTATTACCAAAGCAAAGCTTTCATCAATAAGCTTCAAGAACTTTGAAGGAGGAAAATGGCTTCACAAAATGGTAGTCCAGGTTCCCACAGTGTGGACACTGCTGGACGTTGCTGTACTCAGAGAAGTACTGCATCCCAATCCGCACGTCGATCACGGGCTTCCCACAGTGCTTACAGTTCAGGCGGGCCTGGGGGGAAAGACAGGTGCCGTCAGCCACCATACCCCCTGCCTCCAGCACCATCAAAGCCATCTGAACCCAAATGCAACATTGATATACCTGGGAAACTGATCCGAAGTTTAGTAAAGTGTCCTTTTTATTACCGAAAACAGGGTAGTCTAAGCATAAGACGTATATTCAAATACTCGTCATCAGTCTGAAAGATTAACTCCAATTTTTCTCCCAATATGTAGCACCGCTACTAGTTTATCCTACTTATAGGAAGAAAATGTAAACTTGTACTGCCCTGAACTGCTCCACTAAAGTCCCCCTAACACAGGAAATGCCTTCCCCCTGGACTTTAAAGAGTGGGAGAAGCTGACTTCCCTCACCCAAACCTGCATAAAACTTCTTTGAAGATTCTGAGTTTATTTTCAAAATTCATATACATTTTTCATTCCACTCCTTACTACATTTGTATTTTCTTTGACATAAAAACAACCCCAGAAGTGCTATCTTCATCCCGAGGCTTGTGGAACCCACTGGCACAGCACCCTCTCCATCTGTGCCCAGGCTTCCAGTGGCACAGTATCAGAGGCTTTCACGACCAGGCCTTCAGTGAGTAACCAGAAATGGTAAATACAACAGACTCTCAATTCAGATTCATTCTAAAAATGTAATAAGAAAGTATATCCTCAGTTTGTCTTCAAAACACTCCTGTGAGGTAGACAGTGTTACATGAATTTTTAATGATGAGACTGAGGCACACAGTGATAAAGTAACATGCCCAAGACCACACAGTTGGGAAGGAGAAAGGCTGAGATTTGAACCAAGTAGCTTACTCCGGAGCCCACGCTCCTGGTCATTTCATACAAAACAATAGAAAATATAGGCAAGCAAAAAGAAAACTAAAGGAACCATTCAGCATCCCAACATCCAGAGACCACCCCTGGTCAGCAGATTCCTTTTCGTGTTCACTTTTCACAAATGGAAGCATACTGTGATGCCATTTATAATCCTTTTTCACTTAAAATATTGAAAATATTTCCCACATAATTATACATTATTCTACAATACCCCTTTTCGTGACTACATCGTAGTCCAGTAACAGCTGCACCACACTGTAGTAAATTAACCATCACTGCTGGACTTCAGAGGAGCTTCGTGACTGCTCACTAGTGAAGCACCTTCCCGTGCCCTTCATCTCCCCCAGCCTCACTGTGGTGCTCCCTCTAGCTCCTCTATGTTTACTTGGGGACAGAAGCTCGATATCACCCACTTCTTGCCCTGTGGGGTCAATACAAACCTGACAGCATGGAGAGGCGGCCAGGATGTCGTAAGTGTACATGGTGCCCAGCTGGTGCCAGCTGCCGTCCCACCGCGACTTACACTTGATGCAGATGATCTTGTGAACTCCTTCCAGGCAGTCCACGCACACCGCATACAGGTGCATGAGTCTCCCTGTGCACAGAAGACACGGTGCTGAGAGTGGCCATGAAGGAAATCACCTTTTATCTCCAAATGGGATTAAAAATGGATAAATATAAAAAGCAAAATAGATATTTAACACACATCCCCAAGTTGCCCTTTTAGAATAATGATACAACTATTGTCAATGAAACACGTACTTTAAGTTCAATCTTATTAAATAGTTGCTTCAATTCACTTTTCCAAAAGAGTGCTGCCAGATTTACAATACAGACATCCAAATTCAAATGATTAAGCCACAGATGCTCAAAACCAGCCCGTGACCATGCAGGACTTTCTGCTCAGAAGCCTAAGTGTGGCATATGGTGACTGACCAGCAACACTGGTCTATAGTCATAAGCTCTCCATCCACTGACAAGTCCCATCACACAGTCAAAAGTCTGTCCTGGTATCAGTAGCCTAGCATTATACCAGAGCCCAAATTACTATGTTAACTGTTCTTGTCTCCAAAACTGCTCAACCATCACCACATCTAATTTGGGAACCAGAATTATATCCTACTTGTAAGTGGTTTTTAAAAAGGAGTTCAATGTCTTATTATTTACTGGGCACTTAAAAGTCACATCCCTATTCCTCCATTATTTATCAACATCTAATGCCTGTAAAAGGAAAGATGCCACCCAATTTTTATGGAATGGTTAGGGTTCAAATCATTGAGTCAGAATGTTCAGGATCTGCCTGGGCATTGTATACTAGCAACAGGGCCACTCTCCATGTGGGGACCAGGAAGGTCCACTGTGTTAAAAACTATCAGAATACATACTCCTAAGTAGCTTCCTATTCACAGTGTGTTGCTCACTGTCATCAGCCAGACAGCGGCTCTTCACCCTTCATGCTAAGGACCAGCCTGCTCCTTACATTACAGAGGAGTCTACAGTACTTGCAGAGATACCTTTTATTCCGTTTGCTTAAAAGATTCCCCATCCTTGAGGGCAGGAACTATGTCTTAGTCATCCTTGTAGGCTCAGTATGTAGCACACTGTCTGAAATGTGGATAGTACCCCCAAAATCTATGTTATATGAATGAAGGGGAGATGTTAATAACCAAAGACAGTATAACTTTGGGGGCCTTTATGTCGAAAGTGGGAAGGGTGAAAAGAGCTTCCTGAAATACTACTGACCTCTGCTCCAGGGCATTGAAAATAGAAAGGTCTCACATGCCAGCCCCACTCAGAGTGCCCTGGGGAGGCACTTCAGGATGTCAGTTCAAGTATCCAGGGGCCACTAGAGAATGCTTCATTTCCAGTCTCCATCCCTAGACATACTTACTGCAGTTCTCAAATACTCAAAGACACCAGGGAAGCTGCTAAGAAGGGTAGGAACAGGGGCAGGGACAGACACAGAGGTCAGGTGTGTTGGGAGCAATGACCATGATGATGAAATTGATAGGGAACTTTTATAGAGTGTTTACCATGCGTCTAGCACTGTGCTATATGGTTACATGAATCATTTCACTTAACTCTCACAGCAACACTATAGAGGCAGGCATTATTGTTATTCCCACTCCAGACAAGAGGAACTGAAGTTTAGGGAGCCTGAGCAGCTTGCCCAAGTTCAAGAAGATGATAAGTAGCAAAGTCCAGACTTAAATTTCTATCTGTCTGACTCTTAATCTCCAAACAAACTCATGGGAATTCTTGGCCTGGACTGAGTCTCTAGATCTGTTTCAGTTACTATTATACATTGTCCTAAATACAAATCATTTTAAATTCCTAAACTTTAGGGTTGTGAGTTTAAACAAAAAGCAGATTCCTGAGAGAACAGTCACCTGTGGTTCTAAGTGAGAAAGAAGCATAATTAGATCAGTCTTAATTATTAAAACCAAACAAAAACATCTTATCAGAGGAAGAGTCAGAAAGCAAAGGCTGGAACTGGAGGCTGGGGAGGACAGTGAGAGGTAACGGGCATGGCAAGGGAGTGACAATCCACATGGGCCAGAACTGGAAACAACAAGCTATTTCAGCAGCATGTAATCAACTGTAGCCTAGCATCCCGTGACCTGGAACTTGGCCTTTCTATTGGAGTTGAAAATGCTGTAAATCTGTAATGGAAGAAATGCTTTACACCAGCTTGCTATAAAAAAGATGGTGTGGACTTCTCTGAGGTGTAGCAACAAAAACAGTGGCACATGTTAAGGCCCCAACTGTGGCACTAACTCTTGTCTGATACTGATAAACACTCTGATCTTCAGATTTTATCGTCAATACTCAAACTTCTTAAGACCTTTGTAGTGAATGCCTACACATCCATTATCTATTTGTGGATGTATAAATACTTACGTGTGTACACACACACATACACACACGTTCTCAGGCCTAATTTTTACCTTCCTCCAGCTACTCCTTGATGGGTACCCTCAAGCTTGGGTCTTGGGCTCTGTCTTATACTCTTCCTGTTCTTTCTCTTTTCTCCCAATTCAAGAGTTCTTCCACTCAAGATTTTAACCACCACTGCTATAAAATAAGTTCCCCAGTTCATCCCAAATGCGTATTACTAATAGCACTTGCTGGACATCTCCACACAAAAGTCCCAACATCCCTTTGAACCCAATACATACCAATGCCCTCATCTTTCCCCTAATATCAAGTCACTTTCCCAACTTTCTCCACTCTTATCTGTGACAGTATCATTGTATCTGATCTAAAACCCAAATGAACCAAGGACTCAACTTTACCCTCTACAGTCGTTGTCCCCAAAGTATTTTCTTTAAAATAATCTCTACAGATATTCCCACTGTCAGCACCCAGCTGTCTCTTCTCTCCTTCCATCTAGATCACAGGTAGAAGTTCCAACTCTGTCGAGGTTCTACCCCTTTCAACTTTTCCTCCAAGCAATAGTTTGCTTTAAAAAAAAATAAAATAAAAAGGTGAAACCCTTCCATATATGAAGAACATGGCAAAACTCTTTAACATGGCTTGAAAGGGCATCCACAACCTGTTTTCCATCACCCTACTCATTTTCCACTCTAGAATCTCTGATCAACCAAACGGCTCTCTCCAGTTCTCTGTCTCCTTTTTAAAACCAATGTTCCTTTGTTCACATTTTTCTCTCTCCTTATCAACAAACACCTTCAGTGGGTAGATACTCTGCTTATCAAAATCCAGCTTGTCTTTTGATGTATGCCTTCACATGACCTCTGACTACCCAGGCCAAATTGGCCTCTTCATCTTGGGAAATTATAGGATGCTGAAAATACATAATATCCAGGTGTTACTCATCCCACTGGTGGTACAATTAGGCCTGGTAGTTAGTTACATTTTTATCTTACATCCCAAGATTATAAACTGATGACAGGCAAGGACTGACAGTACCCAGCACATATATGAAATTCAGAAGTTTGATTAGTTGATGAATAGATAAAATAAAAAGAATTTGTCCATCATGAATGATAATGAACAACGCTACTTTCTTTTAACACTTTCATGTACCCTCTACCATTGTGCCCTGATTCATCTTCATAAATATTTCCAATCTAAAAATGAACCAAAGGTGTTTCCACCTACTTCTCTCTAAAATTATCCCCAAACAGTATAAAGAACAAGAAACAAAACACAAACGCCATCATCCATGAAGCTATGTGATATCTCGACCCTGAAACAGAATGAGGTCAGAAATTAGATGGGAGAAATGGTCAATGGTTTAGCTGTGAAATCGAACAAGCATCGGCAAGAGTGCGAAGAGGTGCAGAAAGGGAAATAGTGGGATACACAAGTAACCATATAGTCTGTGTGACTTCTTCCATTAAGAAGCAGAATCTAATCAATCCCTGAATCTGGGCTAGTCTCACAACTTATTTTGAAGAACAGAATGTGATAGCAGTGATGTTACATGGTTCCAAGCTTAAGCTTCTAGAGAGAGAGACCCTGCAGCTCCCACTCTCACCCCCTTGAATACTGTCGTGAGAATCCCACGTGAAAAGCCCAGGCTGGCCTACTGGGTGACAAAAGGCTGTGCAGAACAGGGATAAGTCATTCTAGCTGAGGCTCCTGAGGCCAAGGAGTCTGTCAACTGCTGGATGTGTGAAAGAGGTCATCTTAACCAAACAAGCCATGGAATTGTGAGAAATTATAAATCATCAGTGTTTTGAACCACTAAGTTTTGGAGTGGTTTGCCTTATAACAAAAGCTAAAAGATATAGGGGATTAGGTGAAACTCTAGAAAATGAATGAGACCATTCCCTGCAACTTCAGCTTCCTTTCCCTGCTGAAAAAGAAAAGACAAGAAACTGCATCCATGAAACGAGAACACGACAGTATTAAAAAGAGCTCTTGGAAATTATAAACATGAGAACAGAAAATCTTTAAACTCAGTAAAAATACTAAAATATAAAGTCAAGTAAATCTTCCAGAAAGCAGAATTAATATAAAGAGATGAACAACAGGGTCAAAATTGATATAATAAAGGTAATCAAAAGAAAATGTCCCAAACTTAAACTTAAAAAGACCTTAAGTTTACAAAGTCAAGAAGCCAAGAAAGCACTATGCACACTGAATGAAAAAAGAAAAAAGGAAAAGACCAATATCATCCATATCATGGTAAAACTTCAGAATATTAGGGATAAAAAGAAAATCTTAAAATCCTTGAGGGCTGATGGGAATCGCGGACAGGAATAATATTATTAAACTTCTCAAAAGCAACACTGGAAGGCAGGAAACAGTGAAGAAATGCCTTCAAAATTCTAAGGGGAAAATATCTATAACTTAGAAGACTACACCTAACCAAAGAGCAATCAAGTGTGAAGACAGATTCAAGACATTATCAGACTTTCAAAGACTTAAAACTTGCTCCCTTTCTCAGAAAGCTCCTAGGGTATGGTTCTTAACAAATTGAGGAAATAAACCAAGAAAATAGGAAATATGGAACCTAGGAAACAAGATAAAAAATAGAAAAGAACTAAAAGAATTCTTAGAAGGACAGCTGTGTAGTATAGCACGTACTGAGTGCACCAGGACAGACAGGAGCAGGAAAATGAAAGACTCCATGAGGAAAATTTCTAGAAAAAAAAATTTCTTAAAATGTCTGACAAGTATATGGAAATATTTTTAAAATGTGGTTTGCACTGCTGCTGGAAAATGAGAACAACCAGCCAAACATTCGAAAAAGGCTAAGCAAATGAAAATGTGAAGCAATTAACATCAATAATAAAAATAACAATAATAATTGACAACAATAATAAACAATAATAAAAATAAAAGAGGTCCCAGAATGTACTATACTCTATATAGGAATACACCTATTTTCTTGGCTAGACACTAAATATTTACATACTCATAATAGTAAAAAAACACTAAGGATTATCCAAGAGTTGCGATATGTTATCCTGAAAGAAAGGAAAAGATGCAAGAAGCATAGTCACCCACAGTAAAACTCAGCCACTAGTGATACCTAAAATTGAAGAATGACGACAACAGTTTTTAAACTGTGATGGTAAAAACCTGAAGAATCAGTTAGGATTCCAAAGTGTTTGTCTCTGGGAACTGAGACAGCAGCAGTTGGTGGGAACACAGGTGGGATATATTATTCTTACTACAGGGTTTTTTTAGCACACTTTTAAAGTTATAAATGTATTACATGATATGCATCTCATTTTTATGTAAATTCAGTAGTTTTACATGAATCGACAGATTTCTCACTTATACTGACCAACCCTCTGTCATTCAACTTAAGGCTGAAATGTCACTGAGTCCTTGTATGTCATCCCCAGGGTAAATATCTGATCTTTCAATAATCCTCTATTTTCTTTTTGCTGTTATCAAGACAGTCTCACCTTTCATAAAAGTCAAGATTAATTCAACTAATCTAAAAACACCTGGCCCTCTCTGACCCCTACCTTCCCTCACTCAGTATGTTTACAGGGATCAGAAAGAATACACGGCTAGCTGGGCTCATTAACACAGGTCTCAAAGGCAACTATTTTACAGTGAGTCACATTTTTATGCAATTCCCTCTCTAAATTTCCTCCCAATTATGAAAAATTATACACCCGAAATCCACTCCTCAAATTACAGAACAAAAACATAAAATTACCCACCAGGACAACTATACTATTGGTACAGTGACATAAGAGTAAAACAAACCACCACCACTTCCACCATCCTACTGGGCAAAGCTGAAATATTCAAATGTGACTTAGCACCTGACTAGAACAAAAAAATAGTATTGGTTAAAATTAAGCCAAAACAAAGAAGTCTCATCTTGTTTGCTGTCCTGCTTTTAACAAACAGAAAGCAGGCAAGGTGAATTAACACCTGTACCTTGAAGGTGACAAGGAACATCATATTCGATCTCATCATGTCTCGAGGGGCTTAAGAACAGAGTTCCGTCCACCAGTGGGAACTGTTCAAACACCGGGAGCACCCGGTGGCACAGGGCACAGTTTACAACATTTCTGTGGCTGGCACTGAGGGCTGCAAGAATGAACTTGCGGAGATCCTCGCCCTGGCCCATTTGGGCATCGTCTTCCATCCGCACGTGGAAAGTGTTCAGCTTATGCCTGGGGATGTGAGTTAAAAGCTCGGAGAGGTCCAACCGCCGCAGGAACTGTACGGGCGCGTCAAAGTGGCCGCCCCTGTGAACTGATAACCCAGCCGGACTGTAATCAAAGTGGGTGTTTCGGAACACATGGCCCCCAGCCATGGCCTTTTTGTGAGGCTCAAGATGGATGGCATTCTTTAAGAATTCCCCAAGGTATCTGGAGGAGCGGGGGCCGCTGAAGTGGGCAGGGGAGAGGATGGAGTAACCAGTGGGCGGGGACTGGCCAGGGGAGCCACAGGGAGAGCGGGCCCCGTAGGCCCCAGTGCTGCCCGCCTTCTCCTGGGAGTTCTGCCGATCCACGGAGTGCCGGCGGGGGAGGTCGTGGTTCAGGCCTTTCTGGGGCTTATTTGGGGGCCTGCACTTTTTTGCTTCCTCCACAGCCTCGCCAGGGGGCCTCCCTGTGTTCTTCTCCGATCCAGACTTCTTCTTCTTCTCATCCTGCATCCGCTTCACCTGGTACCAGTCTGTGTCCTTTTTTAAGTGGCCCTGTCCACAACGGCAGGAGCAGAAGCGGAAGGCCAGGTCGTAGCCCTTCTTGGTCCACATGTTCTGGCGGCACTGCTTCTCGTTCCAGCTGCGGGCCCTGCCGATGCAGTTAAACTGGACTAGGATGCTGCTCTCCCACTCATAGAAACACTGCAGGTGCATCCAGGTGCTGTAGGGGCAGTGCTCATTGTTGCACACCACCTTCTGGTAGTCATCCTTCTCCAGGTCAACCGGCCTCCCAAAGCTGCAGATCAGGGGCGTGGCACACGGGGCTTCTGGGGAGAAGCACAAAAGGAGAGAGAGAGATTCAGCACATAGGATGTGGGGTCCCAGCTGACACCAAGTCAGAGATCAAAGCTACCATCCCACATTTGCCCATCCATGTCAAAGGTATGATTTTTCTGGCGTCAAGATGTCAACCACTGAAATGACACCAGGCATGATTGGAAAACATTTACCATTTTCTCCTAGTATGATACGTCAAGGTAATTTATTTTCTGATATTTGTTATCCACTGAAAAATACACCAATGAGCTTCAAAGAGTCCAAGTCCCTCACAGTGCAATTAGCTGTATGTCAATACCTGCAACAATGCAGTACGAGGTTTTCCTAAGACACAGGTGTAATGACAGGCAGTTCCAGTGTCCTTTCAAAAATGAATCACTCCAGTGAACTAGTAAATAATACAATGAAGCTACTTAACCAGCCAGTTCATGTGGCAGCCGCAAAAGGGCCCTCGAAGCCCTTAATCGGGGGTTCAGGTTATCCTGAGTACCACAGGGGAGCCAGAAAACAGACTGGCCTCCTCCCGATTCTCTTCTAGAATGTTCTGACACGTAATGGCAGGGATGTTTGGTCAAACTAATTGTTGGTCTACACGGAATTATGCTGCCAGGTTGTGAAGGAAAAACAGAATTTTCCTAAAGCTATCAGGACAGAAAGCGGGAACGCAAAGACTTTTCTACCCCATTTAACCACATGCCTCACAGAGCGTCCAAAAGGCCAAGCACGTTGCCAGAAAGGAGGGAAAACTTGGTGACACAAAGTAGAATCCACTTTTTAAGACGTAAACAGGATTTATAGAGATTAGAATTCTACTGGGTTCCTGTGACTTCAGTGTCCATAATATTTTCCAAAGGCCCCTTTGTAGGGCAGCACGACTCCCAGTTAGAAACCACTGGGCCTGATCACGAAGGTTCCACATGCTATGATCTATTGGAGCTGAGAAGCTAAATGGGGACTGTAAGCCACAGAGCCCCTCGGTCAGAGTTCCATTTTAGAAATCTCACCCCAGTGTGGGACATGAGGCAGGGAGGCCAGAGCAGGATGGAAGGGGTACTGCAGTAATCCCGGTGAGAAATGACAAGTGCCTGGGCTATGGCAGCAGCATAAGATGACTCTCAGTGTTGGGGGTGGTCAGATGCCAATGGACAGTGAATATGGGAGAGACAGGTTTGGACAGTAGACGACTTTGGGCTGGCTCTATTTTGGACCTGCTGAATTAAAGTGTCTGTGCACCACCGAGGTGAAGAAAGATGTGACTGGAGCTCAAGAGAGCTGGAGCTGTGAATACAGATGTGAAGGAACATGCCAGACATGGAGGTTAAACCCCTGGACTGAGGAGCTGCTCCAAGAAGAATGTGAAGAGAAGAAAAGAATCCTGGGAAGCAACGATAAAAGGCTGGAGGAGAAGAGTCCTCCACAGGGATTGCTAAGAAAGGAACTGAGAATTCACTGGAAGACAAGTCAGGAGAGAATTCTATTAAGGCAGGCGGGAAAGTTGTAAGAATGGAGGACTTGAAATGTCCTGGAGTGCCAGCTAAGACAAGTGTGTCTCACCCTCTGCACTACACTTCAGGCTGGAGAATTCTGTTGAAGGAGCTGTCCTATGCACTGCTGATGTGTAGCAGGTAGCACCCTTGCCAATTGTGACACTCCAAAATGTCTCCCAATTGCGATACGACAAAATGTCTCCAGTCATTGCTGGATATCCCCTGGGGAAAAAAATCACCCCTGGTTTGGAACTACTGGGTAAGATAAAGGCTGAGAATGAGCAGTGAGCCGGCCACTGACACCTCAGTAAGGACAGTTCCAGTGAGACAGGTCAGAGGCAGATGGTAAGGAGAGGATAGTGAGGTAAAAAAGTAGAAGCAATACAGATGACCATCCGGAAAAACCTTCTAGAAGTACAGCTGTAGAGGGCACCAAAGAGAAAGGGCAAAAGATACAAAGGCTGAGACCTATTCATCGCCCGGGGGAATGAAAGCCAAAAACTTAGGATAACTTGAAGAAGCAGAGGGAACAAGCTACTCAAAAATCTTCAACTGAATTACAAATATGACATTCCACCAAGTGAAACAGCACAGGTGATGGTACCCATAAAGCCCATGACTTTTGTATGTTACAATCATCCCCTTCAATGTGGGACTCCAGGACCTCGGAAATGACTCTAACCAACTTGTCTACTTCTGTGCCTTAGGTCAGTGGGACCTCCCCATCTATCTCCCAGAAGTCCACAATCCTTAATTTTCATTTGTCCAAACTGCACTCGCCTACTATAGCAATTCACAGCATGGACTCTGCAACCAGACTGCCTGACTGGAAACCCAGCAGTACTACTGATAAGCTATATGCAGTGGACAAGTTACTTAACTTCTCTTTGTGTCAGTTCCCTCTGTATAAAATGCAGATGACAAAATAAACCTTAGGCTGTCATAAGAATGAAGTATACTGATATTTCATTTTAGGTAGTGCCTAGAACACAACACGGCCTGGCACATAGTAAACCTCCACCCCTGCCTCCTATCCTT